AATTACTGTACTTAACTTGAATTTGCTTCTTTTTTAGTTTGCAAGTTCTTTGTAGACAAACCAGTTTCCTCTGACTGTTATTGATAACTCTAATAGAAAATTTGGTATTAACTAATGCCACATAACTTTGGGCAGGTAACATTTGATGCTTTGAGGAAATGAAATGTTTCCATTGCCTAGCTGGCTGAATGCAACTACAAAATTCAGCTTTCTAGGGCAACTACAGTTAGTTGCTCATTCATAGTTTCTTTCCTTGAGCATGTGGCAATTTTTGGTTGCCTTTTTTTTTTTTTTTCAAATGCCTAAAGGAAAACTCATTTGCTGGATGTTCTTCAACTTGCAGAAATAGGTTCAAGTAGCAAAATGTGCAAATGAAATCTTAAAATGGTTACTGAACCTGAACAAAATAAAGCTTAAACATAGTCTCTTTGGGTGAAATCCTGATCTTATGGAAGGAGACAAAAACTGTAGAGGGCTATCAGCTTCGATGGCACCGAATTTGTGCTTGAACAGCAACAAACCATTTAAATGTTCAAGAGGGGAGGGAACACTAAAGCAGGATGAGCACAGGAACACACAGTTTATTGTACTCAGCAACATCCCCCCAGCTGCCTCTGCCTGCTACTGTGTGGGAGGGAGGCAAGAGCAGTGTTACAACAGATCTGCTCACTCCTGTACTACTGCTGTTAATTATCTAAATTATAGTAATATATCTAAAAGCTCCATTGTGTACACCTTTGTATTAACATAAGAGACACAGTCTTCACCTACAGACCCTACAGCTATTAAGACCAGCAACTGACAAAGAGTGTGTTAAGGGCTGGACACCTCAGCCAAGTAGGATTGGTATTGCAGTAGACCAGATGTCACCTGTTCCCATAAGCTCTCAAGCTCTAGAAAATGTAAACCAAAACAGATTATCTGAATAGGTTCTGTTTATCTTACATGCTCTTCCACAGGGCCCTTTGGGCAGAGGCTCGTGCCTCCACTTTAGATATGTCCCACCTGTAACAACAGGATTCCCTAGGAAAGGGCTGCTGGCAGCTTTCTTCCTCCCTTCAGACAGCAACAGAAATGGTGAAATACCACTATAGGCCAAGCTGATGGTTAGCTTAAACAAATTTGCAATACTTTTCTGCTTCAGCAAGCTGCTTAATTAGCAGGCTGTAGCATCATTTGGCCTTCGAGGAAATGGGCAGGAAAGGCTTAGTACATGGAGGAAATACTGAGAAAACTGAGATGAATCTCTAGCACAGGTCACACTATGGAGATCATTTAGAAATTGCTGATGTAAAGGAAGCAATCTGTGTTATTAATTGTGCTGAAATAAAAAAGGGGATGAAATTAATTACATGTAAACCAGCACGTGATAAAGTTCCTAAAGGAACTTCTACCTCAGGCAATTTTTTTCTCTCAGAAGGTCTTGGAGCTCAATTCTGTTTTATAACTTAGGAGGTCTTGCTTGCTTTTATCTGGGTCTTAACAATTTGGCATGAAAACACAATCAGATGATGCTGATGTTTGCTAGTGATTCACTCACTATAAATTGTGGTGTTCTAGGGTCGCTGTGTTAAGAAGAAACAAGTGCTGTGAGAATGACGTGCAAGCAGATTTGCTATACAGGAATAATCCAAAATGTCCCTGTGGTTAAAAGACAGGATATTGCCTCCTACCATGCTCCTCTGTAAACTTCATGGTAGATCTTGGCGTAAGCAAGTACTGTTTCTCAGTCTGAGTGTGTCAGAAGAATGGGGTGAACATGTATGACTGAGGTTGCTTCACTGTCAGCTGAACTGAGTAACTAGAAAATAAAGGCCTTGGGATTTTGTCCCTTTCATCTTATAGGGACCTAGCAGCTAAACAACTGCTTCTTAGCATGGGAGACACTTCCTTGAGTCTTCACATGCTGCCATGAAGTAAGAGTTCATGGTGGTTCAGCAATATCTATTTGTAAGAATTTGAGTTCCAGACGTGTTCTGTGTTGCACTGGACCAAACCAGTATTTGTCGGCCGTCACTGTTTCCAACCAATTTTATAGAATCATAGAATGGTTAGGGTTGGAAGGGACCTTAAAGATCATCTAGTTCCAACCCCCCTGCTATGGGCAGGGAAACCCTCCACTACACCAGGTTGCCCAAAGCCTCATCCAACCTGGCCTTGAACACTTCCAGGGATGGGGCATCCGCAACTTCTCTGGGCAACCTGTTCCACTGCCTCACCACCCTCAATGTAAAAAATTTTCTTCCTTATATCTAATCTAAATCTCCCCTCCTTCAGTTTAAATCCATTGCCCCTTGTCCTATCACTACACGCCCTTGTAAAAAGTCCCTCTCCAGCTTTCCTGTAGGCCCCCTTTAGGTACTGGAAGGCTGCTATAAGATCACCTCGGAGCCTTCTCTTCTCCAGGCTGAACAGCCCCAACTGTCTCAGCCTGTCTTCATAGCAGAGGTGTTCCAGCCCTCGAATCATCTTCGTGGCCCTCCTCTGGACTCGTTCCAGTAGCTCCATGTCCTTCTTATGTTGTTGTTGTCCTTCTTATTTTAATTCAGATGCACTTACTCTGAAGGAGATTTAAAGCCTCATCAGAAGCTGATGCATATCTTCTCATAATCAACAGTTAAAGTTCCTTGGATTCTTGTTTGTATCTCTGGGCACTGATATAGTTATTACAAAAGCTACTAAGCTTCTATCTCACGCTATGTTCTGTTTATGTGAAAATGTGGGTGTATCACTATTTGTGTTCTGGGGTCCTCCTCCCACAATTAGTTTCTTTACTTTTCACCCTCTTCACCCTTCCTTTGCTAGAGACAAACTGCTTGTTAGCTTCTAGCTGCATGCCATTATTTATTGCTGCAATGCTTGAGTATTTGCAGTGTGTGTAATTAAGGCCTCCTGTGACCAAAACTAGCAGAAAGAACCAGGAATGTTGGTTACTATCACCACCACAGTGTAAAGTCTTTCAAGAAGGTGTCTGAGGTGCTACCAACAGAAGACAAGACTTCTAGCCATTTTAATGAGTCAGAGAGCCCCTTTATCTTGATGATTATAATTCATTCTGAAAAATACAAGACCAGGATAATCTATGTGGAAAATTAAGCATTCTGCTGAGCAGCTTTTCTTAAACACTACATTTTTCATTGGCCTTTTCAGTCACATCAGCCTAAACCCTATTTGATTATACACGAAATAAAGCTTCAGAATATGTAATTTACCTGAGTTTTCTCCCAAAGCTTCCAAAAATATTTTGCTTTCACTCAAACCAAATTTATTCTTTTAGTGATCACAGCAAATTTTCTGTAAAAACTAGTATTTTCTCTCTTGGAAAGCTGGTATAGTTCAGCGATTCAACTAAAATCCTTAGAAGTATGCAAATTTTTTTTAACCACAACTGGTTTTGAGCCCACATGCACATACTCATTCGCTATTTGTTATGCACCTCCTGCACAACAGTGATAATAAGTGGCTGAATCTATAATTTTTCTCTCTGAAGCAGTACTAAATAATTTCAATTTCTCAGATTTTTAAAATACTTTCATGCATTATCAGAAAAATAATGTTTTCCTTGTTGCTGACGTCAACAAGAGATACAGCACAATTCCAAGGAAGTAACTCAACCATGGCATATCAACAGCTGAAGAGAGAGAACTGGGCAATCATTTGCACTGCTGAGGAATCATAGTTGGTAATTTTGCCACTAGTTCACGTTGTCACTTTAACACATAGTTAGCAATCTAAAGAAGTACAACATCTGATAATAACATGCAAGTCATTAACATGCCGTATATTAACTCATTATCTCAACCTTCAGAACTGCTGTCACTAAACCAATATGCATTTGATGACACTATCATCAGAGATAATACCAACGCATCTCACTGACTTGCGCTGCTGTAAGAAACATGGAGCAAACAAGAAGCAACGAAAGGAAAGCAGCGAGCATCTATTATTTTTCTGCTGAGAATGACCTAAATTCTTTCGAAGGCCTTCACTCACCCATCATTACCAGAAAAGAAGCTAGACTGTAGTATGAATGGATCAAAGCAGTATGCAATGTTTCTGTTGTGTGCTATCTCCTTTCTCTTCAAATCCCAGCTTGTTTCCCTGCTGATGCCTAATAGATGCTTTGTAATCAACCTCAGCAAGTACAACCTGCTACCTACAGCCAATCACCTATCTGTTTACAAACTTCTGTGCAGCTTATATGTTTACTTACATGCATATAAATGCCTGTATGTTTGTGTACAGGCTTGATAAGTATTTTTAACACTATGGAAGTTTTAGATATGTTCTATCAAATACGAAGTACTAGTAAACAAGGAAAAAAATTACTTGTCTCACATTTTAGATGCTTCAGGTAAAATTACATTCTCATTAATCATTCTATACTAAACATTAAATTCTTATTAACTATTCTATACCAATATATAAGTTAAGCAATCAATAATGGAAAGGCTCTTCTAAAACAATCAAATTCCTTTAAATGTTCAAAGCATCTTTTCCTTTAAATATGAATTTAGTAGTTCGGAAAAATACGAATATATAAATATCAAGTATTGAGAAGTCTGACAGTTAAGAACTGACTCTTTCCTTTAGTCTAAGGAACAATAATGTGATAGAAAACACATCACTGAAACCAGTTGACTCTAGCCAGCTTTCATACAAAAAAAATAAATGTTCCTGAAATACAATCCATTACTGATTATGTAGCAGTAAGAAAAGAGGACAGGGCAGGACAGTTGTGAAAGCCAGTATAACATTAATGAAGACAAGTTAACTTTTATCAGCTGGACCAACACCATCTGCACAGGAGCTGGAAACCACCAATAGAAAAGGAATATTGTTCTCTAACATTATTTATGGTTCCTGGTAAAGTCAGCAAATGCAGAAGTCTGTTATGCTAGATTATTGCAATGCAACATCTGAGACACTTTGAAGAGTCTGACATGGCATCAGTTACCTTCACTAGTTCAGTAAAGCCGTAAGGTGAATGGTAGTTCCCATCATTTACAAGCTGGTGAAGTTACTTGATTGATGAGGTCAGAAAAGGTTCTGCAAACATTTTCAGCTGTAGAGAAGAACTCCTGCTGCAAAGCAGACTGTTGAGCTGAAAAGTAGACAGATTTTAAGTCTTTCAGAGCATTTAGATGCTGCCAGAGCCCTGAAAAACTCTTTATAAATCCCTAATTTAAGATAACTCTGTAGAAACAGCAGCTTTTTCTGTCATTCTCCTTATCACATCCCCATTATCAAAAGTGAGGCAACCTTAGTGTTCAACAAAGCTCTGCTGTGTAAGACCATTAATTACAGAGGAATTTTGTACTGCTGGAAGTCTGCCTAGGACCAGAGTCATAGTTACAGTGTCACAGAGGCGTCAACAGAAAAGACCTCCAGTGCCCTCACCAGTGTAAGTTTGCTGCTTAATTGACTTCTGAGACTGACTTTTTTATGCACTTTGACTCATTCTGTTTCAAATTAGTTCAACATTAGGGGCTATATTCCACCTTACAGGAATATGCTCTACCTTACAAGATTCTGAGTTTCCTCTGAAGGTTAAATGATTATGAACAATATTAGAGAGTAAACTGCACAAAGGCGAGAAGACAGTGTCAAGATAACTGCAAGAACTTATACCTGGTTGAGCTTGGAGAGACAATGCATCCTTCAGTTTCATCACTAGCTGCTGCAGTTCCACTTCCTCACTGACTTCCTTCTCATCAGGTGGTATCTGCACCGCAGTGGGAGTAAGAACTGGATTCCTCATGATGCCACTGAGGGAGTTTGCTGTCAATTCAGGCAGATATGTTTGATTCTCTTTTGCTTTTTTATACTGTCCCATAAAAGGTCTGTCACTCTGCAGGGATGTTGACTCCAGTGGGTCTTCTGAGAACATACAATCCACTGCACTGGGAACCTCGGGTGTCTGTAAAAGCTGCATCCTATTTGCAGAGTTGAGGAGGTTAAAAGATTTCCAATCTGCACATGTTCCGGAAGTAGACCTAATCTGGGCAGGATTTAATCCACCCTGCATTCTTCTTTCCAGCAGGACATGTGGATTTCTTGGCATCATATTCTGATATTGTGCAAAAGGATGCTCTGATGACTGTAACATTGTCTACAAAACACAAAAACTACATTGTAAAAATAACTGATATTTCGCTGTGCTGGTACCACTAAAATAGGTAGGAAAGTAATTTTGGGTCATAATAGACATTCTTTTTTGTCTTCTGGTGAACAAACCCAATTCTTTTCACAAAATATTTTCCTGCAGTAAAATAAAACTTCATGTTTGAGTTTGATCAAGGCTATGTGGCCATTTTTTCCACAATTTCAATCTGAAGACCTTATATGCTTAATGCCATTAAAAAGTGGGAATAATAATGTTCCAAGAGTAAATTTGCAGGAAAATTTTTCTAAAAGATTTGAACTATGGGGAAAAAATATGTATATTAAACACCTCACACCTGTTAACATTTGAAATTCCAAACCTAGGTCAGTTGTCAGTGCCACAATTGTACTTGGAATTTTCTAGACAAAACTATGATGACAAATACCATCCACTGCATGAACGCTGAGTCTGATGTAACTGGGATGCACTGAGCTGACTGTGCATGCACTGGACACCGAACTGTGTGTGTGCAGCCATGCATGTTGTGGACAGGCCAGTGTAACAGCACAGACACAGGACGGTATGACATGCCAGGTCATACTGGTCTCCATGTGCAAGTGATACAAAGCTGACCATCTGTGAACTGCAGATATGTCTGGGTTTTCTCTCTGTTCGACCACCCCTGACCATACTCTAAAAACAGCATTGCAGAAAATGCTACAAAAACGCTGTAGCTGGCAAATACGTATGCATTCTGTGAAATAAGGGCCTTTTTAGAACCTCAGGGAGACTTTAAATGAACAAGAGTCAATACAACTGAAAAGAAATAACATATTATTTGTAAGAGGTCTGTATTACATCCCAGTACAAGATAGCAATTAGGAATGACAAAAGATTATTTTATTTATAAAATGAGAGACATAAGAGAGACATAGATCTGTTGGAGCGTGTTCAGAGGAGGGCCACAAAGATGATCCAGGGGCTGGAGCACCTCTGCTACGAGGACAGGTTGTGGGAGCTGGGATTGTTCAGCCTTGAAAAGAGAAGACTTCGGGGGGACCTAATAGCTGCCTTCCAATACCTGAAGGGAACCTACAGGAAGGCTGGGGAGGGACTTTTTACAAGAGTGTCCACTGATAGGACAAGGGGAAATGGATTTAAGTTGAAGGAGAACAGATTTAGATTAGATCTTAGGAAGAAATTCTTCAGTACGAGGGTGGTAAGACTTGGGAATAAATTGCCCAGAGAAGTTGTGGATGCCCCCTCCCTGGAGGTGTTCAAGGCCAGGTTGGACGGAGCCTTGAGTAGCCTGATCTAGTTGAGAGGCGTCCCTGCCCATGACAGGGAGGTTGGATTAGATGATCTCTAAGGTCCCTTCCAGCCTATGCCATTCTATGATTCTATGATTATGGAGTACCAACACAGGATTCTTCTCTAAAGAAAAGACTGCAACGAAGTATCTAACACTTCTGTTGGAAACTGTTTTCTGCCTCTTATTGAAACACCCTCTCATTATTTTAATTGCAGTAGTATCTAAACATCCAGGCCTGGATATCTGTGCTTGATGCTAAATATATACAGAATGATAAGAAAATCCCTGCTGCAAAGAGCCTATCTGTTGTCTCTGAAGACAAGAACCTAAGATGACTGAGCAGACAAGTGGAAAGTGCACAAATTAGGATCAAGAGTGCTGGTCTGCAGGAAAAGGAGTAGTTAGTGTTCAGTAATTACCCATAGCTGTGAAGATTCTCGGTATATTTATCACTATACCTTTACTTCTTGTTTCATTTGCTGCAGCTTCATTTGTAGGTTTTCATGGCTTGCTCTGAGGCTTTGGAGCTTTGCCTCTATTTTGCAGCTTTTGTCTTCCTGGCAGTTGTGAAGAAATTGCATTTTGTTCTTCCATCTGTTGAACTGCTTCTTCACGTACCTGTCAGGGACACAGAAGGGTGGGAATTTTGCTAGATTACATGCACACAAATATATGCAGTCATGGAAAAGAACAAACACTGCAGCACAAACTTTCTCCTCTTTGTCATTTCAGGAAATTTTTGTCAGCTTTGGGGTTAGAGGCCAGTATTTCAGGAACTGGGTGGTATCCATGGAACTAGCAAGAACAGCACTGTTCCAGATGAGGAAAGATGTGAGCTGAGTGGAACTGTGGCCAGGACTGAGCCTTGCATCTTGGGATTTTACCTTTCCCACAAAGGTGGCTGCAACAGGAGAGACATTATAGCAGTCCCTCTGTCTAGAAGCAAACTACTTACAGCAACTCTCTGACCTGCAAAAGATTTCCCTCATTTCCTCCTGGGAAACAAAGGAGTAAAAGCAGCCTCTACCTCTTTGACTGAGTTCCTTCTTTCTCCCAGTATTCTATGCAGCTTGTTTGATGATACCAGCAGTTTCTGCACAGTTCACTTGTCCTTGAGAAGATACTGTGATTTTTGCAACAAGAAGTAACACCCTCCCACGCACACCAGAGAAGATTCAGAAATTGCCTACTCAGAGCACAGTATGACAAAAATATCTCTGTTCTAGAGCTGGGATTTCTCTAAGAAGTCAGGGTAGAAATACAGTTTTGTCTTCCCTATGGCTGAGGTGGCGACAGACAGAAAAGCTTGTTAATGCTACAGTAACAAACCTACTGCTTCATATCACACAGCTGAAATAGTTAACTCCCTTGCTTAGTTACACCTACAAGTTCATCTGATTCTCTTTCTTCTGGGTATGCATTGACTCACAGACAAGAGCCCCACCAGTTTCACTGGAATTATTAAAGATTTGTCTCAATGGGACAGCAAGTCAGACCATTTAAAATTAAATTAAATATTACAGTGGTCTCTTATAACAGCATTTAATGGGTCTTTACTGTAAAATGCTGACTACCTTCAACTAACTCAGAGCCTGGTTCTGCGAATAGGCACATAAATGCTGGAAGTTAGTCCAAAGAACAAAGAGCGTCCCATGAGTAATGTGATTCATTCATCCAGTTATATGATAAGCTCTGGGTCAGAGGGTGATGCAGTATTTCAGGAGCAGGCTTCCCAGATATCCTCTTAACTGTCGATAATCTAAACGAAAGCTGATGATTTTTGCCATATCTCTTTATATTCCCACGTGAGAAGAGAGAGTGAGGTAAGGATGCAGACTTACAAAGAACCTGCAATTGCTTTGTTCTAGTATTGGAGTGCCCTTGTGTGAATTTGGAGCAGCAATTGTACATTGACTTATTAAAATGAAACAAAGCAGGAACAGAGGGAACTGAACATATTGAAGGAAATAAAGAGAGTAGATTCAGGATCAAATTCTACACTTTGCTGTAATTCCATCAGTTTCAGTGGTCACCGACATGATTTTATCTACAGCACATTCATATATAACTACAAAAATGAAGGAGAGGGAAGTAAAAGTGAAAAAAAAACAACGTAAGCATGGTTGCCTATACACCAACACCCCCTCCCAAACAAACGAACCACCCAATAAATTTGTGGTTTAGGTATTAATATTTTATTGTGTCAAAGGTTTGAATATCAGAAGGGATTTCTGTGATAACCTGAGTTGTGAAATTTTTACCAATAGTTACTCTGTTAAGCCTCTAGTCTCTATGTGACTTACAGCATATTTTTTAGAAAGATATCCTACCTTGATTTAAATACTTCCTGTGAATTATGAAATTTGTTTTGATTAAGCCTTATTCAGAGAAAAAATTGAAAAAGTATGCTATTCTGATATTTTTTCCCTTAAAAATGACTTTTAGAAATGTAAACTAACCATTGCAGAAATGCTGATTGCCAGAAATTGTTTTTCCAGGGATGTTCATCTATAATTTTTGTTGCTGAGTTTTAATCATTCATCCCATTTGAAAGCATTTTATTTTTAAATCTCAAAATCTCTGAAGTATGGAAAAATCATTTGTCTTCTAGCTCTTCACTACAGCAGCATTGCTCACCAGTCTTCAGTCACTGTACTACTGTATTTACCTACCTGCTCTCATTGTGAATGCTTTTGATGGATTTGTGCATTTTTAACACATCCGCTTCAAAAGAAGCTATTGCCTATACGAAAAAAGAGAAAAGTATCTGTTCTTGACTTCATCAGCAATAATATTTCATTTTCTAAGCAAATTTTGCTATAAGAGGGCATGGCAAATTTGGGATATGGTCTGTTTTATAGATCTACTAGTTAACTTTTTTTATTTAACTGACTGGAATCAACTGATGCATTAAAGTATTTCTAATGGCTATTAGAACAGACTGGAAATTCTACTCTATAGAACAAATTCTTTGTCCTATTACAAATTCTAAGTGTACGAGAATTTGTTTTGTTTTAAATTGGAACAAAAACCTCATTCCTTGGAATTTCTGCAAAACTGAATGTTCTGATTTGGAAACAGTCTCTCTCAAGTCACACAGTCCCTTATGCTTTGGGATAAGAAGATGGAGGGAGACAGACTGAATATAGAAGAGAGAAGAGAAACCCCTGGTCTTTGGATGGAAGTATAAGTCTCTGGGTCATGCAGGGGACAGTAGCCCAGAAGTCAGAGACACAAACACTTTCCAGGTATGCTGCTCTAGAGGGATGATATAAGCTGGGCTGGAATCAGGGCTGCCAGGAAATTGAGAGACTAACAGCTGGGTCCCCAGGACCTCCAAGCTCAGGCATTCTATTAAAAGCTGTCATTGGACTTACAGTCTGCATCTTTTTAAGCAACATTGAAATAACCTGTACTATAAGATACTGGAAATCAGTATAAAACTGCTCAAAAAGAGTTCTCAGCCCAGAGAGAAAATGAACACGAGAGCAATGCATGTGACAGAATCCCACTACAGGGATGCAAGTTCCTTCTCACTGTCTTCTGAAACGACAAACGCCAGCCATCAAAATTACATGCTTAAGCAATGTCTGCCCACAACTTCTCTTGCAGATACGGGCTGGCTGGCACTATACCTCAAGCTGGGCAGCAGAGTCCTGAAAGACAGGTCTTCCAAAGGGCAGTACAGGAGTAGCAGCCAAAGAAGTGACCTGATACACACAGGCTAGTTCTCAGTTACTGCACCCTTGGCTTCTGGGAAGAACAAGATGAGTGGATGACACAATCTGGTTTGAATACAACCCAGTGTTCCCTATATTCCAAGTATGTGCACAGCTACCAACCTCTCAAATAAATATAGAAACAAAAAACTGCTATGTACTTATTTTTATCTACACTGTCCTACCGACTCCTCTAACATTGTTTCTATGCAGGGAAACTGGAAATGGATTAGTGGAGAGATTTTATGCATAAGCTATTTTAGTTGGAGTGGATACTACTCTGGGTAGTCCATTCTGTCCTCTTGCTATTGCCATGGTGACAAAAATGGCCTGAGCCTAATAAGAATTAAGGCATCCTTCCTTGACATTTGCTTGCAGTAGGAGTATATGATAGCATTTTTTACTGCCAGAATAGAGAGAGGACTCCAGACTTAGCTAGTCTTTAATGTGCTACTTTAAGACAAGTAAAAAAAAAAAAAGGTAAGCAGGTAAATATTCTTACACATGCTTCTGGAGGTCATGGAAGTCAAGGAGTTAGTCACTAATGCTGGGAGGGTATCAAATTCAAGCTTCGCTAAGTTTTCAGATTCCACATTTTTTAACATAAGTGAGAAATTAACAGAAAGCTGAAGCTGCCCACTACATTTCTTTTTCATTGGTAATTAGAAGGCAATTAGATAGTTAACTTGGTAGGTCTTCTTCACTGCTTTAGCACTATTACAGCTTCCTGTTTCGCTCACCTGAGCTTTTGTCTTGCCTTGCTCTGGTGTCTTCTCACTCTTCTGCATTACAGTTCTGTTTTCAGATATGAACTTCGGTGACTCCAGGACAGGTCTGTCCACTGGAAAACACAGGTTTTCAGGGCCAGGTAGTGGTGAAGCACTGAGTTCTGCAGGGGGACTGTATACCAACAGAGAAATAATGAGTAGAGAGAGGATCAAGCCTTATATGGTCTGTTACCCAGAAAGATCAAAATAAAACTAATGCACAGTAAGTAGACACACAACTGTGCTGTTGGCTAAGCAAGAAGTATGGTTTAGCTATGCCTGTTTGCATATTTTGGCTGAAAGAATGACATTCCTGAAGACAAATTCCACTCTTTCAACAGAATCTCAACAACAGGTTCTTCTTTCCACTCATTTAGTATCAGTGCAATTTGCTGTTTCCTTTTTGTTTTGCTTCCTTTAGCCAAGAGCTAAATACATTGGGAAATTCAACTACGAAAAGATAGCAAAGGGCCAGATATCCTGCTGTTCAGTCCATTCTATGCCCAGATACCTATCCGTCCCATAGCGACACCTGTAATGGCAACCTCAAATTGTTCTTTCTCTCTCTGCCACCCAAGCATCAGGTAAGCAAAACCTCACAGAATTACAAAGAAATCTTGATTGCTCATGGAAGGATTAAATGACATTCAAAACGAAAAAATATTTTTTGTTGCTGAATACAAGTGGGGAAGCTTTAGCAATGGAAAATGTTTTGCATTTCACCACATTCTAAAAAACAAACACTGAAATAATATTCTCCGTGAAAATCACAGAAACTGTCATCCATTGGTCTTACTGTATATAAAAAATTGGTTTCTAATAGCAATGTACTTACCTAGCAGTGTAGCACAATGAAATTATATAAACAGATTTTTCTCCTCCTTTGCACAAACATGAAATTAATTCTTTTAGAGAGGAGTGACCATTTTTTCCCTATTTTAGTCTCACTGAAGTCTCATTTGGAGAGCATATTTCAGACGCAAGAGAGTTGCCACAACTTTATGCAACTAGGAAGGAATCTCACATTTTGTACATTTGTAGTGCTTATCTCATATAATAATTTTCTTCAGTTTCTACACCTAAGCATCAACCAAAATCTCAGAGCAAGGAAGGAGAAATTATAGGGAAAATCACAACTCGACCTCCAATGCTCACTATTAACCACTGTGATCAGTGGAAAGACAGTAATGAATTTACACATTAACTAATAGCACACAAACCAGAACTGATCTGAAAGAATGAGAATGGTGAGATCAGATACTCACTATTGTGAGTAATCCAACAGGACCGCAATTCAGTGGGCCTTGAGCAGAATCACTGTCAGTGAATGGACTCTAGGTCACACGTGGAACATATTCACAGTTAATTTCCAATAAATTTGTCACAGAGAAGGTGCTTAAAACCCATGCAATTGTGACAGGTACTAAATATCTTCAATGGTTGACCCTAGACTGAGCATAAGACATGGCATGGAGAAAAAGGGATGAGATAAGGCAGGAGGGAAGGAATACACAAGCACGTTATATTTTATAAGAAAACTGGTCATTAGGTTGTCAGCATGGCAGCCATGGTTAAGCTACATAACAATGTCCAGCAACTTCCCATATATGCTTTCCCTTTTTAATGGAAAAATCATGATATGGTGTCTGTCATAACAAAATCCCCTACTCAAAGGACATAATCAAGCAACATCCCTCAGCCTGACATATTATTCAGAGATTATAAACTCATTGAAAACAGAAACTCACAAAGTCTTTTTTTGAGTAGGGAAGTCCCTGTCCTCCACTATCTCCAGAGCCCTCCTTCTTTGAGCCTCCTTTCTTCTGCAGCGATCTGGAAACAGGTTGTTCCTGACGGTGCGGAGAAAGTGCTTTGCATTTGCCTTTGCTGACACCTATTGGAATGAGAGATAATAAAGAAGGGAGTGAATTTTAGAACAGGTGCTTTCCAGAAGTAGACACAGTCTGAGGCAAAGGCAAGACATAAGAAAGCAAATGTTCACCTGTTCAACAATTGAAGAGGCTCATGGCTGCTCCCTGAGCCCTAGAAGGGGAGCTGGGGTGGATGATGATGCAGGACCACAGGCAAGAGTGGCTCCAGTTCTGTTAGGTAAGCAAACCACTCTGCCAGAGCCAAGTTCAGGCAGCCTGGAAATGTCTAACACAGGATTTTGGCAGTTACAATGGTTAAGCTCATGGTCACAAGGATAATTCTGCCCAACTAGTATCTAAGTTCCCTCTTGATCAATAGGAAGAATTACTTTTATACTTGTATGAAGTGTTAATAGATACAGCCTTCTGTGCCTCATGTTCTCCTCTCATACAGTACAGTAAAAAACATTTCCATTTGTCACAGGAATGTCAGGCTCAGGTACAGCAGCTAAGCTTAGTAGCTGTATTATAGGAGTACACAAATCAGTTCTGCCCCAGGAAGTGACTGCTGCAGAACATGGGGTGAGCCCTGACAGACTGAACAGGAAAACACAAAGAAAACATACAGCATGCCTCCTAGCAATTTCTCAATATGGTAATAACATTACCACAAGGTGTCAGCATGGTGAGGAAAAACAGTGCTGATATTTCAAATCCCCACTCAGCAGCCCACTCCCTGATAAAGACAATGTGAAAACTTAGCCAGCCAAGGACAGCCTGTGCTAAGAGTGTCAGGTATGGGAAAAGTGGCTTACTACTGATTCTTTTATGTCTCACACAAAGGATACAAAAATGGTATCTGTCATAGTGAGTAGCTTATCTTTTTAATTTTTATATAGATTTTGGCCACTAAAGTAATATTTATGGGGCTAGTGTTAGAGTAGGGCTTCATAAAGGAAACCAAAGTTCAGTGACCCAGCTGCAATATTGCAGCAACAATGTGAGAAAGCTCAATGTCAGACTGTAAAGGAGAGGAAGAAAACTTAATTTTAAAACAAAACTGATTTCACTCACTCATACTCACTCACTCACAACCACTAACATACATGTGTCCAAGTAGTTTTTCCAGCATTCACACCCAAGGTGTATGTATACACACAGTATGGCCATGTTGACTTACAGTGACATGGAGGATAAGAGATGCCAGTTCTCCTTTCTTTTCAGAAAGAGAGCAATGAAGTGGCTACAATTTAATGTTACCCCAAATAAAGACTGACTGCAAGAGCAGTGTAACTAACATTCTTTAGTTTTGGTGCAGACACTGGCTACCCAGATATCTTTAGTGGAAGGAAACCATGAAGTACAACTTACTAGGGAAACTTTTACAGATGTTTTTCAGCTCATTTACTGGAACAGAAGAAGATACTGTTATGTAGATCCGCAAAAAAACCCTGTCTGCTGCTGTGTGCAAGATCTGGAATTTCCTGCTCAAAGGAGAAGCTGATTTTCCAAACACAGATTCCCAGTGTTGAACTTCACCCCTAGTGTGATGAAAGCACAAGTTATCCCTGTAATGGAGCCCAAGTAGGTGAGCTTAGTTGGATCCACGCTGCCTTTTTGTGCTACATCTCTAATTGACAGAGACAAATCAGTCCAAAAGATTTACAATAAAGTGGAAAAGCTCTGGAATAAAGGAAGTTTGTACAACTTTAGGATGAATTAATTTATGAATGAGTCTGCATTGGCATTGGGAGGAAGGAGCACTGGGACACACTGAGGGCCACTTCTGCAGGTTTAAGGATGATCTGCAAATGGCAAACTTGCCATAAAACTCCTTGGGAAGAGGACTTGCACTACGACATTTCATGACTCTATTCAGTCACTTCAGAACAAAACAGTCCTTCTAAAGTTAGAAGTCCCTGTCTTTCATTTCCCTGACTCACTGTTCCTAGATTAATAATGTTAATATGTCATGGTCATTATGGCTAATACACACATAATTTCATAATCAGTGTAGTTCAAGAGTCTACTGCCTCCTTACCTACACGAAGAACCTGAACAGGGAAACAAATGAGTACAATGGGACTCTACCTGCACACAGTGTTCCACAACAGGATGTGACATCTTATGCGGTTTGCTGAGACGGCCAGTGAAAAAGCAAACTTGGCAAAGGTCAAAATTGAGGCACTTCAGACAGCGATACCTGTGAGGGACAACAGAAGGACTAAGTTACTTCCCCACAAGTAAAAACTTGTGTAAGTGAGCTTCACTACTGAGAAATGCAGATCCCTGGGTTTTGAAATGCAGAGAAGCACCTTTGCTAGAATAATGACTTTCCTCAGCATTCTCTGAATGCAAGAGTTATTTATTTTGTCCTGATGACAGTGGATTATTCTCCAGAACTCACTAATGATTTTGATATTATTTATTTGCTGCATTGAAATTCAGTCAAGGAAGAAACAGTTGTTCTAGTACCATTTTTGAGAATGCAGTTACATCTTCATATGCTTCTTATGCACCAGCACCAGCTTACCTCTATTTGCTGCTCTCATGGAACTGTAATATCACTACATGTGATTCATGTAGTGATTCATGTAGTGATTCATTTGTGATTCATGTAAATTCATGTAGGATTTGCAACTTTGCAAAAACTAAAAATGCAAAAATCTAAACCTGCAAGCTTACTATTAGTGAGAAGAAAGTAACAGTAAAATATTTTTTGGACCATTCTGGTCAGTAGGTAATGGATAGTGCTTTTTTTATAGCATTAGGTCATTTCATATCATTAGTTACATGAATAAGATGCTAAGATGGATAACTTAACTAGCCAGTTAATACACCTGATTATGGGACAAAGAACTAAGAAATGAGATACACAGGTTTAATTGGCTTTACCACTGATTCGCCAGTTTACTCAGAGTAAGTATCTATAACCATGTCTGTGCGAGTGAACTAAAGAGAAACAGGATGCAGGCTTGAGCACTAGCCTGTGATGGTTCTCCCTTTCCCTATGCTACTTGTTAAGTGAGATTATGTCTGAAGTTCATTGCTTAATACAGCAAAGACTGTAAGGCATGCAAATAATGGTAAGAACTATTTCTGTGGATGCTATAGACTACAGTAATTACTGACGCACCTGAGGCCTGTAATAGGGAAAATTTTGCAGACTTTACACCTAGCTTGGTGAGAAACCATTTCTGTGGCTGATAATCTGTAACACGTAGGGAGCCACAGGAGAACAGCAGGCTCCGATCTCAGCCAAGACAGGAATTTTTCTTCAACAATTGCTGAATTCAGAACCTGGAAAAAACACATCTTCAAGTTCAGCCATTTACTTGAAAAGAAATGGTGTCTCATCTACAACTCCTAATAAAAGTTCTGATATTGGGCTATGTTAGCATAGATTTTCCATTCATACGAGGTGTTACTGAGTTCTAAAGGTTTTGGAATAAATGCAAGAGTCTTCAGTAGTACCTTGCTGAGCATCTTTTCTATAGATATAAATCCTCCTATACTGTGAGACTGACAAACTTCCTGCCCCTTAAAAGTAGATACTGGTGGGTGTTATATGGTGACACACTTGCAATTTTAATCGACCAGCAACATTCAAAATAATTTCCCAGGACACCAGAATTTCACTCACCCCATGGAAACAGCTGTGAGTCGCAATTTCCACACAAGACAGAGTGCAGCTTTCTCCCACAATGGCTGGGATCTGCATCAAGAAGAAAGACTCAGAAACACCTCAATAAAAAACAGATGTTCCCATCATGCTCTGCTGAGACAGCGACAGCACACAGATGGTGAAGCATCTACAGAAATGCCATTTACATACTGTTCTGAAGAAAACCTGTTCATATTCATACCATCAGTATGCAATTTCATAGTTCAGTATGTGTCAGAATGATTTGCTTCCAGTTCAGTTACTGAAATGGATCAACATACTACATCGCCATACCAGAATATTGAAGGACACTTGGTTTGAACCTCAGGAGTAATTTTCAGATCTCATTTTCAGTGCCAGTTCAGCTGGAAATACCTGTATGCTAAGGCATTTTTCTGCAACGACAAGCTATTCTACTGAGTACAGACATCTGAAGTTTGGAGTCATTTTAGCAACAGCTGTATGCAGCTGTTCCCAGGACCTGTAATCTCAGGCAAAATGAATGCACAGAGGCACTGATGCAAGCAGTTACTCTAAGGAAAGCTACAGAATTTGATTTTTTTACCTACTTTGCACGGTAGCTCCCTGTGTCCACAGAGTGCCCCATTAACTCCAGTCCCGTAATGTAATCAAACATAATACGTGTCAACCATGTATTTTTTTTTCTCCTAGGTTAGGATACTCTCACAAGATGTGTTGCATAACAGCACTGCAGTGGCATTACCTGATTTAAGTCTGTTAGTAGGCTTCTCAGGGCACTACGGGTAATCAAGGCCACCTTCCCATCACGGACAGCATAAAATTGGAAGAAAGCTGAAAACAACCAGAGGAAAAAAACTGGAATCCTGGCAGAGCCTGAAGTGTCTTCTAGTTACTCAGTCTCAAACTGTCTACATGAGGATTGCAGCCGACCAACTAAACCCCTCAAGAGAGTTCCCCTTTATTGTCTATCTAACAGGCATTCAGTGGCTGCTGTGACAATACTTTCTTCCTACAGGCAGGGGAAACAGAAGGAAAACAAGGAAATTATGGCAATTCCTTATTAATGGCAGTTAAGACAGGTAAGGATGAAGGAAACAATGAGCTCATTTTCATGGCTGTAAACAAAATATGTAAATATGTTTATACAAGATATGTCCTATTTAAGTTGTGACTTATTAATTCCAAATGGTAATTTGGAAGGAAATACACACTATGCAATGTGAGAGGATGAGGCCAACACGCTACTTGGGGTCTATTTGTTCTCCATTTTGAGCGTTTAATTCAGGCAGAAATCTTTGTGCTGCACATTGCACTGGGCTACCTTTATTTGTTATACTTAGTTCTTTAAGCGTTTTTGTCTAATGTTAAAAGGGCTCTAAAAGCTTCCTGGATCAAATATATAAAACTGTTTTCTGATGAAATTTAAAACTAGAGGTTTTCTGTTCTTTTCTGCTAGGCAAATAGAACTTGGGCCTCATTTTTAAGCTCTACTTATCTTAAACTTTACTATGACTTGTTCTGAGACTCTTTATGCAAAGATGGCTATGGACATCGATGGAAAGTATCCTTCTGTGTAAGTCTTTCTCTACAACTGAATAGTCAACATAATTTACTTTTTGCATGGCAGAACTGTGTTTTCTTTTAAAGTAAAAAAATTACAATGGAGATTTTTCTCAATGTTCAATATTTTAGGCTGTGTATAAAACCATACATTTCCCACCTCTGTATTTAGCCAGTAGAGTGTCTCCTGAAAGGGCAATTAGGGCAGCTGCAGCAGATCTAGTTTTGATATAACCTGTTCCAGATCTAGGAAAATAAAATAAGTTACAGTACATTCACTGAGAAAAAAAATGAAACCTCTAAAGAAAAAAATATTGCTATGTTAGAAGACAACTTCAAAACTCATATCCTTTTATATGTCTATAACTGATGTCGCATTGTAGTGATATTTTATGTCTAGGACTCTTTGTCATGGAATATAACTACTGAGTTAACTGTTCAAGATACCACACAGTCATAAAATAAAAAGACAGCATCTCCTTCAAAGACCTCACATTCCAAGTAAAATACAATTTTACATTTACAATACATGTCCTAAAAATTCTGTTCTTCTTTTGTGGAAAACCTTCCCAAATATGGAAGAGAAAGCACGATTACTATCTGGTTTTTGTATTATATCATCAGGCAGCTTCACTGTGGCCCCAGATCTGTACTGAGCTCCTCTTGGGCTGATTCCCTTTCATTTCACTGCAACTCAACTTAATCAAAAGGATACATGCAGGAGCAGGACTTTAGTTTTGACCATTAGATCATAAAGAATGTAGCATAAGCACCTAATGAACAAATGTTTCTTTATGTGAAGACAAAGCAGATGTGAATGGGAAGACATAAATTAGGAAAACCTGGAATTCTATATTTATCACTTTTGCAAAGCAGTATTGCACTTCAGAATATCATTACATAAAATTGTCTTCAAGAGTCTTTAGATACACTGCATTTTTTACAGAGCATACTGCGTAAAGCTGCAATATAGTCTCTAAAGTATGAGCTGCATGGGAAATTGTTGGTCAAAAGTTTCTAGATTTTGAATTTATATATTTAGCTTTTCCAGAACTTTCACAGAAAAAGGTCCAAGATTAAAGTCAAAGTATACAATCAAAAACCCTTATGACTTATGTAAGCTTGTTAAGTAAGCGACCACACAAACATGGAAAAGCCCTTGTGTGTTCTGGTCATGAAATATTTCCCAGTGTTGATAGTGGAGAATAGCACTCTACAGAGAAAACATGATTAGAAGAAAATTATAAGCAGCTTTTTCTATTCTATGCACATGGCAAGAAACTTGTGAAAATTATTTTTAAAAGAAAGTACAGCAAAAAGAAAATGACACACTGTCCTAAGAAAACAGAATAAAAGACCAAGATAGTCCTATTAAGAAGATTCATCTAAATGATT